GTCACTGAGCTATCTCTCCAGCCCAGCAGAAAGATTATTGCAAGTTCAAGATTAACTTGGACTACAAAGTGAGCTCAAGGCCAGCCTGAACTTCATAGCTAGTCCATGTCTCAAAAAGACAATCAATCAATCAATCAATGCATGTTAATTCTGGAAATAATGTTATGTTAGGCTTCCAAAGTTTTTTCTTCCTTGTCAAATGGTTTTAATCATTTCAAGTCTTTTGGATTTTCATAGAAAATTGTTAACTTCATGTGTTTCACCTTAAAATGTTGCATGAGAACTTAAAAAATTTTAAATTTCTCTATATGTATTCCAGTTTTCTGTATATAGGTCTTACAAGTTTGTGATGAGATTTATCACTATTTTATATTTTAATACTTTTGTAACTGATGTTTTTTTATTTTTATTTTTATTTATTTTTGGTGGTACCAGGGATCTAACTCAGGATTTTGCACTTGCCAGAGTACCTAGCCCCCTTGTTTTGTTTTATATATGAGAATAAAGTTTTGCTTTGAGTTTAAAAAAAAAAGAGGGGCTGGGGAAATAGTTCAGTACAATAAGTGCTTGCCTGCCAAGCATAAGGGCCTGAGTTCAATTCCTGGTTCCGCAAAAAATAAAAAAAAAAAAAAAGAATCTCAGGAGAGGTGTCTGAACTAGAGATACAGATGTGTGAGACACTGGGGTAGAGGTGGAGGACAAAGGCAAGGGAATGGATGAAGATCGTTTCAGGTAGATATGGAGATTAGGAAATGAAGAATCCAGGGATGGTGGCACATATTGTAATCTGAGCAACTTGGGAGGCTTAGGCAGGACTGCAAGTTTAAGTTGACCAACCTGGGCAATTTAGGGACAAGAAAAGTTAAAAAGTGCAAGGAATGTAACTTAGTGTGAAAGTCCTGGGTTCAATCCTTTAAAAGAATAAAGAAAAGGGGGCTGGGGAGATAGCTCAGTAGAATAAGTGCTTGCCTGGCCCTTTTGGCTCTCTGAGCAGCACCATGGCAGTAGGCAAGAACAAGCGCCTTACGAAAGGCGGCAAAAAAGGAGCCAAGAAGAAAGTGGTTGATCCATTTTCTAAAAAAGACTGGTATGATGTGAAGGCTCCGGTTATGTTCAACATAAGAAATATTGGGAAAACACTCATCACCAGAACCCAAGGAACCAAAATTGCATCTGATGAG